GACTACCTAGCGAGGCGCTTTTGAACCCGCCGCCTAGCCACCGATTGTGGCAGCCGTACGAGACCCTCAACGCCCTTGAGGCCGATCTGAAAGACTGGGCTAAGGTCCACGGCTTTGCCATATCCCGGACGCGTTCTTCGAAGTATCGCGAAATTGTTCAAGGCGAGGGCAAGGTCCCAACCCAGGTTGACTGGTACTGCGATCGAGGAAGGCCTCGTGGGCCAAGAGGGCACTCCCGGACCACTTCCACATCCAAGGTTGACTGTAGCTGGAAGGCCCACGCTGCTGCCTCGTTCAAGACAGACTAGAAGTTCATCTTGACGATCAAGGAAGGGGAGGATCAACACCAGAACCATGAAGCCTCGACTAGCGTTGACGAGCATGTTGCCTACCGCGGCTTCACAGAAGATCAAAAGAAGAGCGTTGCCCAGATCACCACTGCCAGCCCAGCCGTACAAAGTCGCGATGTTGCCCGCATCATTCGCAGCCAGTATCCCGAAGCTGTATTTACCAACAAGGACCTCGAGAACCTCCGCGCGCACCAGAAGAAAGAAGCCCGCGATGGCTACACCCCTACCCAGTCAGTTATCCGAAGCTTTGAAGAGGAGGGTATCAAGCATGAAGTGCTATACGATTCTGATGGCTCTGGTCGTATCGTTGGTCTTTTCTGGACGTTTCCTTGGTGCGAACAACAGTGGAAGCGGTTCCCCTGGGTCTTACAAGCAGACAATACGTACAAGACCAACAAATACCGGCTCCCACTCTTCCAGGTCACTGGGGTTGCCAATACCAACCAGACCTTCACTGCCTGCTTTGGATTCATCGACAATGAGCGCGAAGAGGGATACAGGTGGTTGATTCAACGTTTTGAGGCGCTTCGGGCTCGCGTTGATGCTACCTGTCCTGGAGTCTTTATTACAGACTGGGAAGCAAACGTCAAGACAGCCCTAACAGAGGTGTATGGAGATACTATACAGCAGCAGCTCTGTATCTTCCATATCAACAAGAATATGGTGTTGAATATCAAGAAGAAGTGGAAGAAGCCTCCAGCCCCAGCCCCAGCACCTGTGGGAATGCCCTCACCTGCTTCTAC